GCCGTATTGGTTCCATAACTTAGGAAGAAAAATGCTTGTGGCACGATCATATGTAAAAAATAAAGCACAGTTGTGAAAGAAAAAAATAGAACGGTACTAACTACTACGCCTGGATTTGTTTGACACCTCGCTATCACAGGCATAAATAAGCCCCATTAAAGAGTACAGAGGTCTGAAGTTTCTTTGCACCATTAACTTAATGGTCAAGAAGCTTCATACCCGGCTACATTAAAGTNTTAAAGCTGAACATCCAAGTGACCGCTAACCTAGAGAATAAGCCAGCTCTGGAAAAACTTTCCATAGAGCACAAAGTACACAGAACAGCAAACACAAAAAGGAAGATCACTAACCTTACTGAGGTCCTTTCTCCAAATTGATACTATTTCAGAAACTTTACTAGGCAGATAAGATCTTGCCATAAATGCAGCCTCAGGTACCCGATTGCTGCAAAGAAAATGTCACATGGATATCATTACAATAAGAAAAAGACATATATGTAGTAAGATTATGAAAAAATATACCTGTCAACCAACAGCTGAATGCACTCGTCCACTTTACCCAACAGGAACATGCAAAGGAATGCAACATTGTTTTTCCCGTGCTCTTTTGCAAAAGAAGCTAGTTCAGTTATTCCTTCAGCATCTCCTAGAGAAGAATAGAGTAGCAACAAACCACTCAAGTCATTTGCATGCTTCAAACACTCCTCTGCCGTCTCAAGCTGCAAAACATAGTAAAACAGCAACAGTTATGAAAAAGTCTTGAAAAGTAAATAAGCACATGCAATTCGCAAAAGTAGTCTTCTTTTTAGATGAAGTGATTTCAATTTTGCAAAAGTAACATTACTAGAATGCTGCAAAAACCAACTCCAAAGCACCCTCTGCTACTTCACTACAAACAGAACAATAATGACAACTCTATTCCAGGCTAGTTGAGTTAGCTATACGATTAAATACTCAATAATTTGGGGTTCTCTAACATTTCTATTGACATATAAATATCTAAACGGACTAAAAACAATCCTAGTTATACAAGTTCTCTAAATCCATTTCGCTCCACTCAAACCGTGTTTCATTCAAATACTCAATAATTTGGGGTTTTCTAACATTTCTATTGACATATAAATCTCTAAACAGGCTAAAAACACTCCTAGCAAACACTACTTGGCTACAAACAGAAAATGAGGGAAAACTTTAATATATAACAGGACAACAAACAGAGTAGTCAAGTATTTATCCTATATAGAGTGATATACTTGCTCCTTCCTTCAACCAAGAGAAAGAGAAGTGTTAATTGCGTAGCAATCACAATAGCCGGTAAATTTCTCCAGCAACATAAAAGGATATGAATCAAAGGTTTTCTGCAAACAAACTTTTTGGATACTAAAATTCACTTGAAAGTTAAAGGAAGAAGCTTAACATTTAAACTTTTACGTGTTTCTCTTTGAAAATTCAGTAAGTTTCAATTTCCACTTGTCATAATTCCTTCACAAAAAGAATTGGCCCAAGTGGCAATAAGTAACAGTTACCCTTCCACTAGACATGGCTAGGTCACCCAACTGCTTCCATTTGGACTCACTCTGTGCCACTACGGCAATCTCCTGCATACATAGAAAGGACCAAAATTTTTACAACGTGTAGTTCTTTTTCCGCAGCGATAAGTCTAAAAGAAGAGGTGCTGCAAAGATAAACAACATTTCACTAGTTATTAGTCTCACCTTTGCAATATCTAATTTACCCAGCTGTATGGCTAGTTCAAATCTGTAGTCAGGGTCTGTAGCAACTTCTAATGCTTCCTCTATCATTCCACGTGATTCCAAGAAATGAGCAACACTGGTAGGAAGAATCATTCAATCAGACCCCAGGGAACTACAAACCAGCATGCAAGACCAAGCAAATCCCCCCCTCC